CCCGCAGCGGGCACAGGTGCCACCACAGGCAGAGATGGCACCAGAGGCACAGGTGGCACCACGGGCACAGGTGCCACCAGAGGCACAGGTGCCACCAGAGGCACAGGTGCCACCCGGGGCACGGGTGCCACTGCGGGCACAGGTGACACCATCTTCGCGCTGTCCTCGGCGCCGGGGCGCTGCGGCGTGGCCGTGATCCGGGCCAGCGGGCCGGGCAGCGGGGCCGCCCTGCGCAGCCTCGCCGGGACCCCCGCGCCGCCCCCGCCCCGGGTCATGGCCCTGCGGCGCATCCGGGACCCCCGCACGGGAGAGAGCCTGGACAGGGGCACGGGGTTTGGGGTTGGGGACATGGGCTTGGGGGCATGGGTTTGAGGCAGGGATTGGGGGTTTGGGGACACGGGTTTGGGGACACGGATTGGGGTATGGGGGGCAGAAATTGGGGTTTGGGGCAGGGATTGGGGTTTGGGGGCTCAGTGCCCTGTGGGGGTCCTGGGACCTGGCGCAGCCCCCTGGGCATTCCTGGCCCCGTTTGGGGTTGGGGTCACCCTTACACTGATCCCCCGGAGCTGCTCCTGGGGGAGGGTCTCTCCTGGCGCTCCCCCCAGGCCGTTTTGGGGTGTCACGGTGTGGGGGGGGGCTGCCTGGTAGCTGGGGGTGCCCACCCAGCCCCGCGTGCCTGCAGGGCCCCACAGCTTCACCGGGGAGGACTGCGCCGAGCTGCACGTGCACGGGGGGCCCGCCGTGGTCAGCGGGGTGCTGCGGGCCCTGGGTGAGCCCCGACCCCCTCTGACCCTGTTCCGTTGTATCCTGATCCTATCCCATCCCTCCTGACCCTGTTCCATCCCTCCTGACCCTGTTCCATTGTATCCTGGCCCTATTCCCATCCCTGCTGATCCTATCCCATCCCTGCTGACTCTGTTCCATCCCACACTGCCCCTATTCCCATCCCATCCAACCTCTTGGGGTGCTGCGGGCCCTGGGTGAGCCCCGACCCCCTCTGACCCTGTTCCGTTGTATCCTGATCCTATCCCATCCCTCCTGACCCTGTTCCATCCCTCCTGACCCTATCCCCTCCCTCCTGACCCTGTTCCATCTCACACTGCCCCTATTCCATCCCTGCTGATCCTATTCCATCCCATCCTGACCCTATTCCATCCCATCCTGACCCTGTTCCATCCCTCCTGACCCTGTTCCATCCCACACTGCCCCTATTCCCATGCCATCCAACCTCTCGGGGTGCTGCTGGCCCTGGGTGAGCCCCGACCCCCTCCTGACCCTATTCCATCCCTCCTGACCCTATTCCATCCCTCCTGACCCTA